TCAATTTTCTCAAGTCTTTTCCCATAATTCAATCTCTTGACCATTAGAATCAGCCTTGTGACTTGACTCCGCATTGTACTTCAATATCTCTCTCTTTCTCTTATGACTCAGCAAACAGAATTGGATGCATTACTCAAGGAACACACTGAACAGAACACTGTACCATTTGATCACACTTCCTCTAACTGATATTTAACTGTTTTGCCTGTGTAGTAAACATCCGCATTGTTGTTTGCTGCTCCATATTAGTTGAACATGTTGAGAGTCAAGTCTGCTAGAACAATGCTCAGCTTCATCCTTAACTATTTCAATACCATCTGTGGGGTGTTTGTGTTGTATTTCTCCTCCCTGTACGCAGTATTTTTACAGCTGTCAGCTGTAATTTACACATGCCATTTTTACAGCTGTTTATATATCTTCCAAGCTTCCTCCCTTATTTTCCACCATTCTACCAGTGTTTTCAGGAAGCGGTTTATTGACTGGTCACCTCAAAGAGAAGACTCAAAGGAGTGGTCAGCCAGGAGCCCCTGGATGAGATGAGTACTGAGGAAGGACACCTACAGCCTGCCTCAAAATGGAATCTTAAAACACGAGACCTGAGGTTTCTTAATGTGGAGATGGGATCGTTACACCTCCCTGATGTCTGCTTTTGCAGCAACCTCCAATGGCCCTCTGACGTCCCATTGAGAGACTCCTGCAATGAGGTTGTTGCTAGGCACTTGACAAAGCAAGTGGTCCAAATGATGCCTGAAAACTTGCACCACTCTTAGAAAATACTTCTTAATGAAAACCTTAATTACTCTGATTGCCTGCTCTCCTCCATTGTGCCAGTTGCCAATTCCAGTGACAACACTCCCTGGGAAACTTAACAGAAGTAGACCAACATTGGGATGCCATCCTAATAGAACCTACTATTGCTTTCCCATTCCCTGCCACCCCCACAGCGTTGTAAATGCCCACCCTCTTGCCTTATTTCCTACACTTCAGCCGAATTCTTAATCAAATCCCAGGTTTCCTTTGCATCCTATCACCTTATGTTAAGTCTTTCATTGGAACTTTAACAAATCCCTTCTGGAAGTCAAGCTACACACATTAAAGAGTTTTTCACAGCTTACCGGGGTTGGTGCTAAACATCCTGTTCAGGCAAGATCTTCCTCTTCTGAATCCATTCTCATGGCTGACAACTAGGCTTTGGTTGACCAGATTATCGCTCAAAGTTGTTTCTGAAATCAATTCACTATTTCATTTTTTGACACATTATGACCAGGAGAAGGGAGGATTGGTTCCCCTCTTTTTAACCTACTGCTCAGTCAGCCACAACAAATATTTATTTATTTTTAGCACAAGTCTAGTGCAGTTCAGTGAGAATGTTGAGTGAAAGAAAGAGATTTTATTAGCAACTAACCCTAAGATAAAATAATAATGTGACATCAAACTACAAATGTAATAAACCTAGAAAGGAAAGTTTTGGTGCGGATCAGGAGAATAAAGTTTACACATTTAAAAGATCTTTAGAGGACTTGTGGTGTTAGGTTCTTAACCTTAGGGCACAGCTGTTTAATTTCTGACTGGCAACATTAGCAGCGGTTCATTTTTCTGCATATCTTTGAGCTCTCAATGAGTCATTATTTTTCTGATTTGCTTTTTCACTGGGCTCTGTTTTTTGTGATAATGATGAAACAGGGAGGGAGAGAGAGAGAGTTCCTGCTCCTGTCGTCTGAAATTCGTTTTCTTTCTTTCTGCCACTGCTCAAATGTTGTAATGTAGTTCAGTGTGTATTCTTGAGTCTAGCTCCACTGTCTTTCCAAGCTAGCTAACTAGCAGACAAGCTTTTCATTTACCAATAAGAGAAATCATTATAGAAGCATGAGTTAAAACAGGTGATTTGAATTTCTTAAGGCTGACTCAGTTGCCTGGTTTTGATGTATTCAGATAAAAAAGTAAATTCAGTACAGGCAGCTTTATTTGTTCCATTAAGGGCCTCCTAAAGCTTGCCTCAATCTGTGATGAGGTAAGTACTGCAGCCATTTTAGATTTATGATTCTTTCTCTTTTGAAACCATTTCAGTCCACACTTACCTGTATCAGTGGTAGCACTTACTCATTCTTGTCAGTTAAAACTTAAGACACCTCAGAATCTTTAACAGCTCATTTACCTTTCCACAATATTTAGTATTTTTAAAAATGTTGAATCTTATTCCTTTCACAATACAAATTTCATATTTAATTATATGGTGCTTTCAGAAGTTGATTGACTTATTGACTTTACGGTGTATAAAGTGAGACTAATGCTTTCCTAATTTTCTTCAGTAATCTAAAGATGTTGATATATTGTGCTACTTGCTGTGTATTTGTAGCTTCTCTCCAGTATCTCACACAAGTGATTCTTTTCCTTCTGGGCCCTAGACCATGTGTATCAATATGACTGTTTATTTGATTGTGAAACACATCATCGCTGAGTTTCATTCTGCCCTAAACCCAACATGTAACCATTTCAGAACAAGTCAGCAGAAAGTAGGGGTTTATGACTGATGCTGTTTTCCCTCTTTAGGATAGGGGAGCATTGAAGTAATTTGTACGTAGGCACTGCTTCAGTTGAGCACAGATTCAGAATTGAAGCTGGGGCATTTGGTCTGTGTGACTGGGTACTTCACCAAGTGTTGTGTTTAACCTCTGACCTTGAGGATGTGCAGAGTCTATGTTTAAAAAGTAAAACAATTCATTTATCCACAGCCACATTCACTACTATGGATTCACCAGGATGATACCAGCAGTAAGGATAGAAATAAGTTTTGATAATAGTAATATTTCTGATGGAGCAAATAAGGCTATGATCAAGTTTAATTCACATACTTAAGATGGTAAAGAATTTTTAGGGATGATTAAGAGAACACTTCACTGATCAGGGAAGCCATCAAACACTAACAGAGTTAGGAGAGCAATAGGACATAGAGTCATAGAGTCATACAGCATGGAAGCAGACCCTTCAGTCCAACCAGTCTACACCAATCATAATCCCAACCAAAACTAGTCCCACCTGCCTGCGCTTTACCTATATCCCCTCAAACATTTCTTATTCATGTATTTATCCAAATGTAAGTTAAAGATAATAACTGTACCTACACAGACCACTTCCTCTGGAAGTTCATTCCACACATGAACCACTGCAAATGTAAAAAAGTACATGTCTTTTTAAAAATTTTTCTCCTCTCACCTTAAAACGATGTCCCCAAGTTTTGAAGTCGCCCACCTTAGCGAAAAGACCTTTGCTATTCACCTTATCTATACCCCTCATGTTTTAATAAACCTCTATAAGGTCACCCCTCAACCTCCTATGCTCCTGGGAGACAAGTCCCAGCCTATTCAGCCTTTCCTTATAACTCAAACCCTCCCTTCCAGGCAACATCCTGGTAAATCCCATCTAAACCCTTTAGCTTATTAATATTAATATATATTATAATAACAGATGTCCCTTAAGCAGTGTGGTTTGGGTTGTTGAATGCTTTGCTTCAGGAAGTAGCTGCACCTTAGCACATTCCTCTTTCCCTTCAGGGAATAGTGGGAAAATGGTCAAAGGATTCCTAGCTGATGATCAACCGTCGAACCTTGCCATGAACTCTCCTTCTGTGGCCAACGAGTCCTGCTGGGGACTTGAACTGGGAATTTCAGGCCCAGAAACAGGAACAATCCACTGCACCACAGAATCTCTTTAGGAAGCAGTTGCTGCTGCTTCTAAAGGAAGAGTTAATAAACATAGGGCACGTAGAAGGACTGACGACACTGTTGTGCAGTTTGAGTTTGCTGCTCTTACCTGACAACTTGTCGCTATCGGCATTATTTTGGGAATGCTTTAGGGAAAGAAAGGGCTCGTGTTGTGCGATCCTCATCAGTGGACCTCTAAAATCCCGGGGCAGGGTTTTACTCATGTGAATCCTCAGCCTCAAATTACAGCGGGCACTTACCAACTTCTTGATAGAGGTCAAATAAGTTTTTCTTACTTTTATTCGAATACAAGCCAAGTCACACAATGTGTTATCTGTCCATATGCAGCACTTAACTCAATCCTAATGTGGTAGTTTGAAAAAAAAGACACTTTCAGAGACTGTGTATTCAAAATCTTTGTTCATGGTCTGAAGATGGAGGGAAGCAGTGTGGCAAACATAGTATCTGTGAAATAATAGCTATGTGGAATGACAATAGCACTGAGTTTCGGAGCTCTGAATGCTGTCAGCAGACACACTCTTGTGATTCTCCACTAAATAAGTTTCCAATCTTAGCTTTGTTTCGGGGCAGGTTTTGCAGCAAAGATGTTGGTGCATGCTGGGTGGTTCCTTGTAGAGAAGGAGAGATTAGAGGTATCAGCCAGTGCATGGTGGTCTTACAAATGTCAACAAACTCTCTTACCTCACTGACAGAACCCATGGTGGAGGGGTAATAAATAAGCTACCTTTCTAAAATCTAAAGTTAACTAATAGTTTCTCTGGTGGCTTAATGCGGAATCTTGTTGCATGTTGTCGTCCTGAAGAGTAAGGACGAGAAAACTCCCAGATTCAAAACCCGATGAGTGCTAAGTTGGAGGATCTCACTTAATGTAGTAACAAGAACTCAGAAGTAAATTTGACTGCTTGAGTAGAGAAACTGGTTAGTGGATCCTGCTCCCAGTTACCACCCTTGCTGGAAAGTGTATTGTGCTTATTAAGGTGTCATTCTAGCGCTGACATCTGCAAAGTCAAAGATTCTCACATTCTAGACAGGGGAGAGGAATTCCCACTGAGCTCACTTACCAGAGGACCCTTGTGCCAGTGAATTAAACCATGACATACTTCAGTTACAATCTACAGCCTAGCGTTTAATGGTAGTCAACTCTGTGAAATATTTCATACCACACTACAACCACATAAAACAACAGAAATAGTCTGATCACAGACTGAATTATGGTTTTAAAGTGGTTCATCATTATGTAACAAAATCCAACCAACTTCTACCTCTTTCTCATTGTAGGTGCCGCCCAGGAATTGGCAGCTGCACGGAACCAGGCTCTCCAAAATGCAATTCGTCCCCGGATGATGGCACACAATCCAGGCATGATACAGATGACATCAGTCCAGAATTCTGGCACAATACCTGCCACCACTGGACAGTCAGAGATTGGCATGGCGCCCTACAGTAATGCCCAGAGCAGCCAACAAGGAATGTACAGTATGAGTCCAGGCATGAACCAAATTCTTCAACATTCAAACCAAAGTAACACGAGCATGGCACGTAATGTTAGCCAGATGCAGAAACAGCCTATTGCAGGACAAGGGGTTGGAATGGTACCTGGTTATGGACAAAACCTACTTGGAAACCCTGTGCTAGCCCAACAACAACAGCAACAACACGTCAAAGGACCAGGAGGGCAAACAATGCCCAAGGCTCAAGCTCAAAGACTACAGCTCATTGGAAGCTCTGGTACACCAGCTCAGAGCTGGCAGCAGCACAGTTTGCAGAGCTTGCCCAACAGAACTCAAGCAAACAGTGAGTTAAGTCCGTTCAACAGCAAGTCAGCTTATCCGATGCAACCTGGTCAAGCTAAGATGGCCAAGCAGCATTTTTCCCAGACAATGGGGCAGCCAGTTCTTGAGACTGCCGGTACAGTTGGAGGACAAATGATGCCTCATTTTGCAGGACACCCAAGGACCAACCAACCGAGACAAATAGTAATGTCTGGCATGACCCAGACAATCCACAGTATGACTGGTTTTAATCAGGCCACAGGCCAACAGTTGACAGCAGGTTGCTACACACAAAGCAACCCAGGTCAGGGGTATCACACAAGAACCACAAATCAGGACATGTCCTTTAATTACGTCAGCCAGTCAGGGGCTGGTTCCTTCTCTAATTTATCAGACAGTGGCGATCTGATGGACTCTCTTATCAAAAGTGGATCGACAGAAGGCTGGATGCAAGAGTTTGATGAAATATTTGGTAACCAGCAGTAGATTGGGTGAAAATGAGTTTTTAATTATTAAAAAAAAAAGCTGTTAAATTAAGGCTTCCTCTAAATAAAAGTGTTTAGGGACCAAGTAAAGTAGGCCTAGTTTTGTAGTTGCACTGCTGTTGCATTACGGTGCTGATGTACATGTAGATGTGATCCAAACTGTAATGGTTTCATGTAAATAGGTTTTTATATAAGTCCAAATATAAGGCTTATCATTGGGTCTACTTCCTGTAAAGAATGGCTCTTAGTTTAACAGAACATTGAAGTATTTTTATTTCATTTTACAGTTTTCAATTCATCAAGAAAGCAATGATATTGCACTTCAGACAATGTCTAACTAATTATTTGTACTGTAAACTCTAAACAGATGTGTTCATTGAATACAATTTTTTTGTAGATTTCATTTTTACTCTGTATCTTAAGCAGTGCTTGGAACCTGAGCTCAGTTCTTTTTAAATCTGTACAGAATCCTTGACTGTGTAAAAGTGTGATGTTGAATAACATTTTCTTTGGGGAGGGTGGGAGGTGGGAGGCATCAGGGGAAAGGGAGAATGTTATGTCAATGAATCATGAGATCTTATTAAAAAAGAACTTTAATGTGAATTCTCAACATTGGAGGTTTTATTTTTCCAGAGAAGCTTTGAAGGTACAGTAGTACGAGAAGGCAGGATTCTTCCCAGCCACTTGCCCCCACCCCAGAAGGTGGATATTTCAAAACCACCCGTAGTTCATGCTCCAGGATGCTGCTCCTACTGAAAATGTGTGCGAAATTTAGCCGAGAATAGGATCCGTCTGAGCTAACACTGTTCCCATTTAGCCTGCTGCCACCCACTGTTGTAATTCACAGAGAAAGATAATCGGTGTAGCTATTAGAGGAAGGGAAAATCAATGCCTTCACAAGGGAAAGGTTAGGGGGAACGTGACATTAAAAAACTAGGACTGTTAACAAAATAGGAAATTGTACACCTCAGAAACTGACCCATTCTCCGTCCTGTCCTTGCTACCTGCTTTAACCTCCCTTTCGTCTCCAAAGTGCAGAAATATGTTGTTGCCTACCAAACCCATGGTCATCTTTTCTCCAACTCCAAGTTTAAATCTTTCCTATCAGGTTCCTGCCCAGTCTGCGGACTGAAATGGCCCTTATTAAGGTCACAAATGCCATCTGACTTGCCCATGTTAAACTATCACTCCTCAACCTCCTTGAGTCAATGTGTAGTCCTTGACAATGTAGACTATACCATTCTTTTGAACTGATTTGATTTGATTTATTATTGTCACATGTACCCAGGCACAGTGAAAAGTTTTGTTTTGCATGCAGTACAGATAGATCACACTTTACAAATTGCATCAGGGTAGTAGAATGAGCGAGGAATACAATATTACAGCTGCAGAGAGGGCGCACAAAGAGCGAGATCAACATTAAATTTAAAATTTGAGAGGTCTACTCAGAAGTCTAATAACAGCAGGGAAGAAGCTGTTCTTGAATCTGTTGGTTCGTGTGTTTAGGCTTTTGTATCTTTTGCCTGATGGAAGAGGTTGCAAGAGATTATAACTGGGATGGGAGGGGTCTTTGATGATGTTGGCTGCCATTCCGAGGCAGGGGGAGGTGTAGATAGACTCCGTGGATGGAAGGTTAGCTTGCGTGACGGACAGGGCTGTGTCCACAACTCTCTGCAGTTTCTTATGTTCCTGGGCTGAACAGTTGCGCTTCCAAGCTGTGGTGCATCTGGATAGGATGCTTTCTACGGTGCATCTATAAAAATTGGTAAGAGTCTTTATGGACATGCCGAATTTCCTTAGCCTCCTGAGAAAGTAGAGGTGTTTGTTGTACTTTCTTGACCGACACGTCAGTGTGGATGGACCATGACAGATTGTTAACGATCATTACTCCTAGCAACTTGACACTCTTGTCCATCTCTGTCTCAGCACCATTGATGTAGACAGGAGCGTGCCCTCCACCTTGCTTCCTGAAGTCAATGACCAGCTCTTTCTTTTTGCTGACATTGAGGGAGAGATTGTTGTCTTTACACCATGCCACCGAGCACTCTATCTCTTTCCTATATTCTGTCTCATCATTGTTTGAGATCCAGTGGTGTCTTCAGCAAACTTGTAAATGGATTTAGGGCAGAATTTGGCCGCAGAGTCATGAGTGCTATCTGACCTGGCTATGTTAAACTGTCACTCCTCAACTTCCTTTAGTCAATGTGCAGTCCTCGAAACAGTGGATCATACCATTCACCTCCAGTCTCTCTCTCTCTCTACATTCTTGCTGGCTGAGACTGCCCTCACTTAGCCCAGTCTTTCCTACCCTGTTGTAGTCATTGAATCGCCTGCAAAACAGTGGTTAGCACTGCTGTGGGTTCGATTCCAGCCTCGGGCGACTGTCTATGTGGAGTTTGCACATTCTCCCCGTGTCTGCGTGGGTTTCCTCCAGGTGCTCCGGTTTCCTCCCACAGTCCAAAGATGTGCAGGCTAGGTTGATTGGCCATGCTAAATTGCCCACAGTGTTCAGGAATGTGTAGATTAGATGGGTTATGGGGGCATGTGTCTGGGTGGGATGTTCTGTGGGTCGGTGTGGAATTGTTGGGCCAAAGGGCCTGTTTCCACACTGTAGGGATTCTATGATTCAATGGGTTCCAGCTCCAGTATCATCATCTCATGTATCCCACACACCTAGTCTTAGTCCTATCCTATTTCTCTGCTGCATGCTCCTCCTTGACAACATCATTGTAATGTTAACAATCAACAGTGATGTTACCAGCTTCATCCCCGATTACCTCATTGATTTTCAGACTGCTTGTCTCTGACATCCTATGCAAAATGAACAGAAATTTTCTGAAACCAAATATCGGTAAGTCCAAAACCACTGTCTTCAGTCCCTGCTATAACTCTGGTCCTCAGGTACCTATTCCACCTTGCTCCATTGCAACTATCTGAAATTGAACCAGATTTTTGTGACCTTATTATCATATTTGATCCTTTCAGAACTTCTGACCAGCACCTAGACAATGTACTTTCACAGCATTGTTCCCCCTGACTCTACTCCTGCCTCAACTCATCCATGCCTTTGTTGTGTCTAGACTTTATCGTTCCCGTACTTTCCTTCCCAGCTTCCAATATTCAACCCTACACAAATCTGAATGGATCCAGCACTCTGCTGCCCACATCCTGTCATTCATCTAAGCTTCATTCACCCATTACCCCCGTGTTCACTGACTTACACTGGCTTTTGGTCTGGCGTGCCTCAATTTTAAATCACTCATTTGTGTTTTCATATATCCCTGGCCTTTCCTCTTCCCTAACTCTGCTCCTCCAGCCTACGAGTCTTTATGATCTCTTCACGTCTCCAATTGCGGCCTCTCGTGTAATCCAACAGCTAATTGCTCCATTATTGGTACTTTCAGCTGTCTAGGTTCTAATCTCTGTAAATCCTAACATCATCCTCTTGGGGTCAGTGCTTTACTCTCCTCATTTAAAACACTGTGTAAAAATTAACAATTTGCCTATGCTTTTAACCATGTGTCGTGGCTTGGTGTTTGATAATGGTCCTGAGGTGCTTTGGGATAGTCTCCTACATTAAATGCACAACAGAGGTGCAAGTTATTGTTATAAATTTTATTACTAATTTCTGTGCGCTAGTCTTGACTATTAATTTATTCACTGTATATAGTGTTGGAGTGTTTAGATTTTATGCACTCCCGCATGACAGTATTTTCTATTAAAACGTGCAACTGATTTTCCACAATTATACGCATTAGCCAGTATTGATTTATGCTCAATTCTCTGAAAAAAAATTGTAATGTTCCAATTAATTCATTCAGAAAATCTCTGATATATTTCAGCAGCAGTATTGCAGAGTGTTTTGGTCGTGTATGTAGAGTCATAGAGTCGTACAGCATGGAAACAGACTCTACGGTCCAACCAGTCCATACCAACCATAATCCCAGACTAAACTAGACCCACCTGCCTGCGCTTGGTCCATATGCCTCCAAATATTCCTTATTCATGTACTTACATAAATGTCTTTTAAACAGTGTAATTGTGCCCACATCCACCACTTTCTCGGGATGTTCATTCCACACATATCTGTACCAGCACCAAGACAACATATTTTCACAGCATCGTTCCTGACTCTACTCCTGCCTCAACTCATCCACAGCTTGTCCATGCATCGTTACCCCTCACGTACTTTTTAAAATTTTTCTCCTCTCACCTTAAAAATATACCACCTAGTCTTGAAATTCCCCATCCTAGAGAAAAGATACCTGCCATTCACCTTGTCTATACCCCTCATGATTTTATAAACCTCTATAACCCCTCAAACTCTTACGCTCCAGTGAGAAAAGTCCCAGTCTATCCAGCCTCTGCCTACAACTCACACCTTCCATTCCTGGCAACATCCTTGTAAATCTTTTCTGAACCCTATTCAGCTTGATGATATCCTTCCTATAACAGGGTGACTAGAACCGTCCTGTACAATCTCAACATGACTTCCCAGCTCCTATACCCAAAAGTCTGACCAATGAAGGCAAGTGCGCTAAACACTTTCTTAACCACCCTGTCTACATGTGACACAAATTTCAAAGAATTATATGCTTGAACCCCTAGGTCTCTCTGTTCTACAACACTACCCAAGGCCCTACTTTTAATTGTGTAAGTCTTGCTCTTATGTGATTTATCAAAATATCTTTGTTGGTAACTTCTTATGGTTTATGCAATCCTGATATCCTATTCCACATACTTTAACAATTGCAGTCATCAAGTTAGAAACTAGGCTGGAATGAAAAGAACTCATTGAGTTGCCCATATTGAAATAAAACCTTGCAGATAAATGAATAAAATCCAAGTACTACAGATTCTTGAGATCTGAAATAAAAAGAGTATAGGAAAACCTCAGCAAGTATGGCAGCATCTGTGAAGAGAAAAACAGAGATAACATTTTGAGTCCAATATGACTGTTCTTCAGAACAGTTTTTTTAAATCAGAAAAGAGCTGGCTGCAAGATGGAAGGAGTTTTTAAAGGTTATAAGCCTGAGTAGTTTGTTTCCATTTCTCGTTGCGGTTAGTGACCTGCCAGTGTTGCTAACTCTAGATTTAGGAGAAGGTTGTCATTGAAGAAGTACAGTATCGAAACACTGTGCAATTGTAATTGTCTGCTATGCTGCTGCTGCAGAAAATATATTTGAATTAATTACACAGCACAAAATATGGTCACTCAGCTTATCATTCCCATATCATACCAGCCATTGCAAAGAACAATCCCTTTATTATGGAATGGTGTAGATGGTGGCAATAAATGAATGGACTCAACAAGGAGTGTGCCAGAAAACTCCAGCTACAGATACACAATTCGAGGTCCTCAAGGAATATTTCTCCTCTGTGTTTACTGTGGAGAAAGACTGGATGTTTTGGGAACTTGAGGAAGTTAGTGGCGATATCTTGGGGACAGCCCATATCACAGTAGAGGAGATATTGGAAGTATTACAATGTATGAAGGTGGATACATCTCCTGGTCCTGATCAGATATATCCAAGAACCCTTCAAGAGGCTAGAGAAGAAATTGCAAGGGCCCTGGCTGATATATTTGCATCATCGTTAGCCACG